GTGTATTTGTTTTAATACAGCTTAAAATCAAAAGAATTCACTAAACAAAGGTATAAAGCCTACGAAACCCGATCCTCCTAGGCAAATAAATAGGAGTAGACAGGGTTCGAAGCATCAGATAAATATGCGGTCATGAATTTGACCGAAAGATTTATTTTATACGTTCATATCAGGCCTTCAAAGCCTTTATCAAAGAAAATTCACAAACAAAGGCATGAAGCCTACGAAACCCGATCCCATATCAGCAAGTTAATAGAGTCGACAAGATTCAATCAATTAATGAAAATGACCCCAAACACCCCGATGATGGCCGTGTTGAACGATGATCTCAACCGGAGGGATTCACAAATATTTTTAAATGCCTCCCAAAAGTTCATTCAAAATTCAAAAAAAATATTTAAAATTGAAATAAAATTCATCAAACACTTAAAATAAATATCCATCCACCCTTCGCTGTTTGCCGAGGTGGACAAATTAAAATTTACTTCAGCTCACAAAGAGCCAAATGTCTAGTCGAAAATATCACTAGTATCCATTCTCAAACAATATTCTGCCAGTAAGGATGTGTTGTGTCCTCTAACCGACGATTTTGCTGCCAAATGGCACCGCAGGGTAAACGGTTATGACCCGGGACCCTCTGAACTGAGTGGTTTTGCCGCCGCCAATTGGCACCACGAAATACCGGTTATGGCCAGAGCCAATACGCTCCTTAATGACATCAAATCCTTGAGATATGAATCAATAGGATATGATCGATAGGGCACAAAGCCCTCTGTTAGCTGATGTGGATTCAAATGTCCCCTTAGACAAACATTCAACCCAGGTCTACAAGGTCCCCTTGGACGAAGCAACCCATGGCTGCCGACAAGGATCCTTATGCCAGGTTGGGTCGATTACCTCCTCTGACTAAGTAAACCAGGGACCATGATGGCCCGAGACGACGGAACCATGGGATCTTGATCGAGCCTACCATCCATTCCCCACCATCCGCTTTAAGTGCAAGATGGTGAAATTTCTATTTTAAATATCAAAATTTCCAAACATCCAAATTCCCAAATCCAAACCCAATGCTGCTACTATATGCCAAATAACATGTATTCTCTACGTATCTGATTGATGACTAGCCTTAATCGAAAGTTCTCTCTCGTTATTGGGAGGGGTAATTAACTATGGGGCTTGCGCCTATAGGAAACCAGAACTCAGATTATAAAGTCCTCGCAAAATGAGGGTGAAATCTCTGGGTAGTGTCTTATCTACAAACTCATCTGCCTTCCAAAATTTACCCCAGAACTTAATCCATTAAAACTCCCTCGCCAAACAAAAAGCAAATATAATCAGCGCGGCGGGGAGGCCGGGGCCGAATTTTCGGAGCCCACAATATTCTCCATGAAGTAAAGGCAAGCTAACTTTTCTATTGTGCTCCAACCCGATAATATTTCGTAAGCTAGAAATCATCAATAATCCAAAGCATTGTAGCTTTAAGGAGAAAATTCTATTGGGTGAAGATGTTGTATGTGAGGAGGGCATCTTCTTCCCAACTAAGAACTTAAGGTCATCAATTAATGATTGTATAAAAATATTATTTTTTGCTTTTGAATTATGTGGTACTGGTATTATAAATGTTAAGAACATGTATAGAGTAGTCATGCATATCTCTGGTGGAAGATTATATGATGTCAGTATGACTGGACAATAAGAATATAATAAAGCTGTCTGATAATATGGAGTGAAACCATCAGTCCATAATCTCAATCTTATATTATGTGGCTCAACAGTAAATGAAGCTTGTGTTCAATCAAAATGTTTTCACACTTTAGTATCTGATGGATGAAAAAGAATATCACTGTGAGTTAATTTCTCTTTATGTCATCTCATATGACATGCTTCTGAACTCATTAATGCGTAGAGGCATTGAAGTCTTGGAATAATCGGTAAATAAAACAAACGAGAATATGAAACATCTTTATTTTGACAACGTTTTCTTGAGTTGGGTTTGAAACAAGGCGCATAGCAGGTATGACAATAAAATTTTATCGCATCATCCTTTTAATATAACATACTATCATTTATACAACAATCAATTTTAATAGCGTGAAACCCAACTTAGATACTAAGTTTTTTATTCGATACAAATCTATGGGGATTAAATTATCCGTTGAATTTGTTTTCTTGAGAAGATAAATGAAGTCATTGAAGCACCCCTAAGGAATATTATATTCAATTTTAATACTGAGCATCCTAACAGCAACTGATAATTTTAAATGAGTTGTGTAACCATCGCATATTAGTTTTTGATCAGAATGTAATAATTCAAAAAAAAATTATTTATGGGTTTGGCGGCTCTTCTATGTTTTCTCTTAAATTTGAAACTACTACATCAAAAAAAAAGATCTTCATATGGTATATTCATTTGATCTTCATCTATTGTTCATGAAGTTATGGATGGAATGACATGAGTATCTCTATGTGGCTCATACTCGCCATATGAGGTCATTAATCAATATCCTGGAATAAATCTCTTATGATATAAATCAACCTTAACATCGTCGAGCTTATAAAAAGCTTATTTTTTGTGCTTCGAGTAGGACATCATAAACATTCCATCAGACTTAAACGCAGATAGTTGACATGCGACATAAAAGAAAGTCTCAACTCCCTCAATAAATTCATCTGTCAATCCTCTTCCTCCCGGTAAACCTCTGTTATACATTCAATATCTCTCTTTTTGAATAATCATGTGGATATTGAATTAATAATCCTAAAATAAAAATATATATAAAAATTCACTATTATAAATTATGAAAATTAAATTTATTATTAAAAATATACATCTTTCCAACTTATGAATTAGCCTAAAATATTATAGGCATCTAGGATATTTTGCCAAAAAAAGCATAATTTTCTTATTTGAACCCTCACAACAATCTTACAAATTTATGTACAAAGGAATTATGCTTATAGAAGTTCATTGATAACCTTTAATCATATCAACGAATGGGGGCGGAGCAAGCTTCAGCTTCATCTGTTGGAGGATGCACATTAAAATGAGGATGAAAGAATGGGTTGGGTGAAATATGGCTAATATCGGCAACATTTCCGGCGTCCACAGCCGCCAGAAACAATTTAACTTGAAACCGGCTGGCATTCCGTTGGTCAAGGTATCTAACTTTATGTAGAACCGACGGATTTTCCAGAGGTCTTCGAACTGCCGGAATTTCCGACGGCCAAACTGCGACGGTTAATCCCGAGGTTTAACCGCCAGAATTTCTGGCGCTCCCAGGCCCGTCGAAAAGTCTGTCTGTATTTGATAATTTTCCTGTAGTGAATGACACTTAAGTTCTCCAAATATGAAGGCAGTATAAAAGATTTTAGATTTCCACATGGTATTTTCTTGATATTGCATATGAAAAAATCTTCAAATATCTTGAATCACAATTGTTGATAGGTTACAAGAAATAACAAATATTATAATTTTGCAAGGATGGCTTACAATTGTTCCTCGGGTCTTAGTTCAGAGATGATGGTTGTGTCAACTGATGATCTAGAAGATTACATTTACTAAATTTTATTTAAGATGAAGTCCAAGTCAAAGAAGCCAGGTTTGGTAGTGCGTTAATACAATGTGATTATCACACAGCATGTGTGCAAATTGATAATAATTGTCCTCATTAATACTTTGACTTAAATGTCATAGATCATTTAATTTGATTTATATGATGATTACTAAATAATAAAATATTATATAATACTTTTTATGATATATGCACTTCAATTAATTGATGCACAAGCATCTTTAATGCTTCAAACTTCAAATTGAAAAAGCATCTGCACATCATATTGCACTTAGCATATTGATAAACTTGAAAGAGAGAAGAACCATTTTAATGATTTTTTTCTAAAATAGTTGCATATTCCCTCACTCCTAAACTTCAAGTTGCCATCTAGAAATTTCAAAAAAACTAAGCTGCTACACAGCATGCTTTCTCATCCCAAAATTTTGAATTTTGAGTTCGAGCCTTCTCTTACCTTCTTCCTTCGCAATGCACATTAAGATCAACTGTTAATATAAACAGATATTCTGTGGTCCTTACAATGCCACGAGAACTCTCCTCTAATGTTTATGTGTTGGACCCGGACTCTGTTATGTTCCGTTAACAAGCTTTATGGCGCATATATTTATTAGACATGCAACCTTAGTCAAACTCTAAACATTCATCAAATACACTGATTGCTTGCACAATTTAAGGGTGTTGATATATTTTTGTCCTTCAAGAATTCAAGCAAGCTAAGCTTACGATGAACTTAAAGGTCTAATTCAGCTGGATGTATCCCCAGTTAGTAAGTTTCGAAAAACTAGGTGCTCCATTAATACAGTACAACACTATCCTTGCATTCTATGTTAAAGGTAACCCTTCGGGAAGAGCTGGTGCTATTACAAAAGCTGCAGATAGCCAGGGGAATTCTAGCATTTCCAATGGTTTTCGTTCCATTTTTGGATTGCATAGCAATATCAGAGGGAATTTATTTCGTATGCACGCACATTTTCTGGCTGCTGACAGCTGGGGCCTAAGAATTCGTTAGTAGACCGATTCCCAGAATGGAGAAATAGAACAAAGTTTATCATTTTTAATAGAACTAAGGATGAGATGGAACGACAAAAGCAAATATCACTGGGACTAAATTTGTATTTTGTTTGCAGTCAATCCAATGTGGTGTAACTTCAGCTACGCCGGCAATGTCTTCTCGCCACAATGGACTGCAGGAATATTTGAGCGAATAGCGGGATAGGATAGGAAAGATGATAGGAATACAAGCAATCCTATCCAATGGTAGGAAATAGGTCAACACATTACGCCAAAGAAAGATGTCTCATTTGCATACTCAATCAATCATTCACCATATCTAAAAATATGAGTTAAGGAAAACAATCAATGAAAACAACAATAAGCCTTCATCCCATTACATGAGAGATCAATGTTAAAAAGAACTTTAAACATTACCTTGAACATTATCACGCTTGCCAAAATAGTTAATGTCGTAAACATGACGTAATATATTGGAGAAACAACTGCTGTATTGAAAGTATCAAGTGCCTGAAAGTCATATGCATTTAATTTGTCAGATCACTGGACTTCTAAATACAAAATATCTAATTAACAAGCAAAAACATGATATGAATTAATACAGAAACTACAATACCTGCAAATTTTTAACAATAATGTGAAGCAACATAAAATGCTGGTGACATCATCAATGTTACATGATTGTTTTATTTATTAAGCTCAATGGAAATATGCATTATTTTTACCATATTTTCAGAGCATATATTAAAAGTGTGAAGTAATGTGAAGTGAAAAAAAGCGTATTAGCATGGGTAACCAAAGCTTACAAAATTTGAAGGTGTATTTACACAAATAAGTTAGCACATCATCTTAAAGATCCAAGAGCACAGTTGGCCTAAAAAATAGTTCCGAAATAAACAAATTCATTAAGTCCACTAATCAACATGTAATAAGAATAGCTTATAAATGAATATATTCACTAAATTCCAAAAGTACAATAGCATCATCCTGAAACACTAAATCAAGCTAAGAACACCAAAGAACCAGTTTAACTTCCAATCCCCACTTTCCATGAAAAAAAAAGCTCTGACTACCCACTATCCCATGTTTCAATGTAGCCAAGTCCATTATCATTTCTAGCAACACTAATCAGAAAAGACAATTATGTTGTAGCTCTCATATTGTAAAAGTCCCACAAACCATAAGTAACATTAGCCCTTCTCTAGTATACCTGCACGCCTCCACCCCACTCTATCGTCACCATCAACACCCCAAACCCTAATAACAAAGGTCTTCAACCAGCGGAAGTTTATCAATATTATGAATATAAATCAAAATGCAGGAAACGATGCTATTATTTTCACTTTACTTTCTGAATTTACTAAAACATTTTAAAAGCACAAGTGATTAGGAGCATATAATGAAAATTACATAATCACAAAAAACTAAAAAAGTGAAGATATATTTATGAAAACACACCGAGCTTTGTTCTACGGGACAGAGAAATACACATGGCCTGGATTTTTTTTTCTCAAAAATGAATACTCACTGATTTCCGAAGTACTCTAGGGTCATAATGAAAGTTGTTTAAAATTGTGCAATATGAGGCTTGCCTCGAGGCCCGCCTTAGAGCAATTCCAGTAAAAAATGTCTTGAGGCGTAAGCCTCGAGCTTTTTTTATGACCCGTACGCCTCATCTTGGATGAGACCCGTCTTGAGGCGCGCCTCGGCTCGCTGGCATGAGTTGTGCGCCACACTCTATTTATTTATTTTTATTTAAAACTTATCTAAATCCTATACAAAAGCTCCAAAAAAAATTATGTCTTCTTGCACCCCCAAGCCGCAACAACTTCCTCTCAATTGCCTCGACCTATAGCCCACCGCCTTCCTCGTAGCCATCACTGTCATAGCCGCCGCAAGGGATTACTAGAAAGCCGCACGCCACCACCATCTCCACTTAAAATTTTGAGGTGTTGAACCCTACATGACGAGGCAGGGAAAAGAACAATTTGTTATGACAATGACTCAAACAAAAATTCCCTTAGTAATGATAGTACAGATGATTTCTGAGTTGTTAATTATTTCAGCTTTCATTAGAAATTAAACATGGATGAGTAAACAACTGAGAAAGAAAAAAATTAGAACTGAACTTGATGTTATATGATATATTTATGCAATTCATATATTTTCTGTTGTTTTGTTTCTGCAATATTTGGATTTCAATTCTGTTTCACATAATTTAGCACTTAACACTTTACATCTTATACAATTGTTTGTTTCATATGTATATAAATTTATTACTTCATAGTTCAATAGAAAGTTAATATGACATCTTTTAACATATTATTTAAATATTATATAAAAATCACTTTTAACTTTTATTTTGACTTTTCGTAATTTTTAGATTTTAAGGGTTCCGTCTCAAAACCCCTAGAGGCTTACGCCTCGCCTCACGAATGAAAAATGCCTTAATACCCAACTGCACAACTTCAAACCTTGATGAAACAATCAAATAAACCAAGAAAAAGAAGGCAGCATTTATGATTAATTCTAATCCTAATTATACTTACTATTTGCATAAGAATCAATGTAGCTAAGCCCACTCACACTTTTAGCAAGCTTAACGGATTGCAATATGAACTTCTTCCTCTCATTTTGCAAAGGTCGCAAAGGAACAATAAAGAACCCTAACCACCCACTTCTATCTACCTGCACACCCTCCCTAATAATAAACACACAGATCAAGTCTTTAGTCCCTCCCTAATATAAACACGCAGATTAAGTCTTTAGTCCCTAGTAAAGTTTTAGTTGGCTGCTATGCAGACATAATAAACAAGATAGCCACAGTTCATGCATGTGACCCATGTCCTCTTCAACTAGAAATCAAGCATATGGGAAGCAGGAGGATGCTATTTTAAATGATAAAAAGTTAGGGTACATAATCCATGAAGCCAGTACGACCCAAGCCAATAACGAAACATCCATGAAGGCAGTACGACCCAAGCCAATAAAGAAACATTGATGAATGATATCATGATGTTAACTGGCAAAAAACCAAAAGCTACAAAGTAGCATTTCCGTAGGCCGCCATAATTGATGTGTTAAGTTTAGCACAAACCAAACAGAGCAAAGTTTGCTCTTTCCTACCATGCCAAGTTTGGTGCATCTTTGAATTGATAAAATAATGCTAATATGAATATGATTTTATTTGCAATATGTATTAAGCAATAACCTTTTTGAAGTCCAGATTCAAAAACCATTCCTCCAATAAAAAAGTACCCAGAATGCCTACGAGCACATCAGACCAATCCATCATGCCAACAACCCAATGTTCAGCTATACATTTAAGCTAGCATAAAATTTTTCAAAGCAAATAAGTTTTGCTACGAAACCATAGAAAAGGACGACATCTTTTTCGAAGTCACTACTTTGTCTAAGCATCTTTCCAGGGCAAATCTATGGATGTTATGAGAACCCTTACACCCGACAGAAAGCTCAAAGTTCATTTGGCTAAGGTTCTTTTATGTTTATTTACTTTGAAAAGTGAAAATGTTGGACAAGATTATGAAGCTTGATATACATGATAACAAGTTTTTGCATTGGTACGTTTATGTATCTGTGTTCATGAGTTTATACTTTTCTTTTGTTCATCAAGTACCTTGATAAGAGTTCAATGAGAGAAAATAAAAAACTTGAATGAGATATTAAAGCTAGCTTCACATTCAAGCTTGGTGATCTTGATAACAAAATAATTAAACTAGCTTGAATAGGGCAATACTTCACTCAGCTTGGTTATAACTCCCGCCACATCCTGCCACACTTTGAAAGGCATTGCAATCAAACTAACCCAAAACTGAAAAGCCAATTAAATCCCAAAGTTCTTTTTAGAATCAATCGATCATTTAAACATGCAAATTAGTATAAAAGGACAGGTGACTCTACAAAAAACAACTCCAGTTTCATCAAAAGCTTTTATCCAGAATCCTTCCATAGATGTAAATGACTTCATTTGCCATCTTAATCTGATGAAAGATTACAAATTAATAGTTTCATTAACTGGGATTACTCTAAACTCTCATGACATTGTAGCTATATATTGATCAAGTTCTTACATGGCATCAAGCCTTGATTTCAATAACTACAATTTCCAATCAATCATTTAATTATTTACAATAAAAAACTTTCCTATCTTATTCAGCTCTTTAAGGGTAGCACCAAGCCTAGTTTGTTTCACTTCAAGTGTCCATAGGTTGCTGGTTTCACTTCAAAATATGGGTTCAAGTGTTTATTTTGATGAAACCAGATGAAACTCACTCCCCATTCTTGAAGCTTAACTTTAAAATGGCGATAAATGAGTTCCAATCTTACAAACAACTACGCTAAGAAGTCGCATTCCATTTTACTTTTTAGTTTAATAACAATAGAATAATATAAAATTAATAACATGATGGGTTCAAACATTGCTTTTGCTTATAGTAATGACAAAATAATAAAAAATTAGTGTAAGGGTGGATAAAAATGAAAACTCACTCCAACACAAACAAACAAAAGTACAAAATTCACAAGAAGTGGGTTCTTATAAAACAAATAGATATTATTGCAACTCACCTCAATGCAACTCACTTCCCCAACTATAATCCAAAAGTCTTTAAAATGTCTTACAAACTCCATCCAAATGTCTTTAAAATGTCTTACAAACTCCACCCAAATGCCTACAAAGTCCAAAAATCTCAAAATCATCCAAGTCTAAGATATTTAAAATGAAATTATCCATCAAAATACTTAAAAGCAGAATTCATCCGCCCTCCGCAATAATTTGCCGAGGTGGACAAATTAAAATTTACTTCAGCTCACATGGAGCTAATGCCTAGTCAAAAATATCACTATGATCTATTCTCAAATAATCTCCTGTGAATAAGGGCATGGTACGTGTCCTTTGACCGGCAATTTTGTCGTCAAATGGCACTGCATGATAAACGGTCATGACCTGGGGCTCTCTGAACCGAGTGGTTTTGTCGCCAAAAGGCACCACGAAATACTGGTTATGGCCAGAGCCAATACGTTCCTTAGTGGCATCAAATCCTTGAGATAAGAATCAATAGGATATGATCGATAGGGCACAAAGCTTTATGTTAGCTAAGGTGGATTCAAATTTGTCCCCTTAGGCAAATATTCACCCTAGGTTTACAAGGTACTCTTGGACGAATCAACCCATGGCTGCTGACAAGGATCTTTCTGTCGATTGGGTCGACTACCTCCTCTGACTAATTAGACCAGGGACCACGATGGCCCAGGATGACAAAACCATGGGATCTTGATCGGGTCCATCATCCATTCCCCCACCATCTGTTTTAAGTGCAAGATGGTGAAATTTCTGATTTTAAATATAAAACTTTTACATTTCCAAATGCCATTCCCATGCTGCTACTATATGCCAGATAACACGTACTTTTACGTATCTGATTCACAACTAGCCTTAATCGAAAGTTCTCTCTCGTGTTCGGGAGGGGTAATTAACTTTAGGAACTTGCGCCTATAGGAAACCAGAACTCAAATCATAAAGTCCTCGCAAAATGAGGGTGAAATCCCTGGGTAGTGTCTTATCTACAAACCCATCGCCTTCAAAAATTTACCCTAGAACTTAATCCGTTAAAACTTCCCCGAAGGAAAAGCAAGCGGGAGGAGGCCGGGGCCAAATTTTCAGAGCCCACACCCTCCTTATTTATGATTAACTTGAACTTTTAACTTTACTAACCAAAAAAATCTTGAGAATAATTCAGGAAGATACAGATACTATATTTGGCATGAGGCAAATGAAGTAGCAGTTTGGGGAAAGAAAATCTTATGGAAGTAAAAAAAATGGCAATGCAACTTGTGTGCTTTAAGATATGTGAGGGAACCAATGAACAAGTATCAAAAAAATCAAACAAAGTGCAGCTGGGAGATGAAAACAAAATGCAAACACGGATGAGCAATAAATTTAGTAATCATAAGTGACCAAAGACTGTCAAAGGAAGTGCGAGAGAGCCTAGAATCAGTCATCAGAGAATATATTATGCTGGTATGGCATGTAAAATGGAGTACACAAAAGGCAATGCATAAGGTAAAAGAATAAGTTTGAAGGGCTGCAAAGAAAAACAAAGATAAAAAAAGCCAGCATAGATCGAAATAGTTACAAAATCAAAAGAATTTTGCTAAAATAAAACAAACATAAATGCAACTTCAACTGAAAAGTGTGAATGCAAAATACTGATCAAGCCAACTTCAGATAGTCAATTGTCCTCCATTTCGTATGCTCTGTATGGAGGGCACAAATTTGCTCCATTTGTCCAGCTCTTTTCCATGTGCCCACCATGACTCAAAGGAACTAATTTGGAAGTGTTTCATTACCCCTATTATTTGCTGCTATTTGTTTCCCTCTTTTTTTATTTGAATCTTTCCTAGATATGTATTTATTTGTTAAATTCTTCCCTGATTTAATCGGTAACCAATGTTGTAATCTCCCTCGTAAATTGGGTATTTCCAGCATGTATCTTTCCTTTTTTCCCGTTGTTTTGGTCCTATTTATCTGGACTATTTTGTTGACAGATCTAAGAAAAAGTTGTTTAAAATATCATTTAGTAATCTTCTTCCTCAATTTTATTACCTCACATGATTTTAGAATAAGATTTCAGTTGAGGAAAATGGGTTATTGCTATAAGAGAGCCCTCACTGGGTTAAGCAAGCATGGGTAGAAGGAGAGTTGATCCTCCACTTCAGCATACCTTGCAATTAACCACTCTCCTTTTCAGATTACAGCCTACAAATTGAATGAAAAATAAATTTAAAGTAATTCCTTGCTCAAGTAAAATTCTAAATAATTATCTACGGATTGGCTGCCATATAAGGTAACTTGGGTTAGTTAAACACAAATATACTCTTAATCTTAATCCAGTGGTCTAGATTTTCTAATTGTCGATCCTGATCATCAGGCATTTAATTGATGACCCATCTTCATTTATGGACTCATGCTCACTTGATCTTTAATCCCAAGTGAGCAATATGGAAATCACTATAAATGGTAGTCTTCATCAACAAACCTGACTATCAAAACTTCAACAACTCTAATCCATTTGATCTCTTAATGATCTAATGCCCAAACCATGATCGCATATCATCTATCCAATCACCCTCTTGATCGAATCCCCAAATTAGAAGCATAGAGAAATGAGGAAGGAAAATAGGAAGGAGAAAGGTGAACAAAAGACGAAAGCAGGGTGATTTTTATTTAGTGCACTATGTTAAACTAGAAATGTCCTCATAAAATAAGAAGTTGCTGCTGATAAAGGATCCTGTAAATGCTATAGTGCAAGAAAACTTTGGTCCATAAGCATCTAAAATATAGAGATACATAGAAAAAAAATCAATTTTAGTAATGAAAATGAAAAGCAAATACAGACTGATGCCTAAGAAATATTTATTAAAAAATTGCAGTTCATGTTACCATGTTTTACTAAGCCTCCTATGAAGAACAACAACTGCATAATCAAGGACAACATATACGCTTCAAATCTGATTATATAATCCTCAAGCTTTTAGAGTATGGTCACAAATGGTTCAGGAGATTTAATGTGGCACATGAGATTTTACCTCAAGTTTGAATGCTGAATATGTTTCTCAAGAGCATTGCTTACTTTAAAAAAGGAAAAATTATTATAATTCAAAATTTCACATAGCCTATAATATATTAGCTCGGCAGAGTAAAAGATATGGACAGAGATTAATTAATGGTAGTAGAGGGTTAGCATAATAATTATGATAACTTCTAGATCTATCTCAATATTCCATTTCTGTCTAAAATGGTAGAAAAACCTGGAAGTTATTATATACCAAAGCAACAACGGGAGGATAGAGAGCTGGAAAGACAAATCATATCCGACTTGAAAGTAAAATGAGATTATAAGTAGATGATAGACAAATATATTTTAAAATGAACATGCATTACCTTGTTGAGATAATTCATTTGGGTAACCACACATGAAATGACAATTATTGTAAAAGCCCAGGTTTGTGGATATATTAACTGATTTATTCCTGAAAAAGTCAACTTCAAAGCTATTCCAAGAGCTTTCACACCCATGACCTATGAAGATAATACAAATCCACATCAAACTTGGAAAATGAGTATAAAATAATAAACAATTCACAGGAATACATACTGAAAGAGAACCAACAAGGGAGCAGACGCCAATATATGCCATGATATGCGTCTGTCCATACTGAGGTATAAAATGGACAATAATTACAAAGACTGCTACCATAACTGCAGCTGAATAGAATAGAAATGCTGCAAAATACGATACAAGGATTGACTTCATATTAGGAAGACTAGATATTAATGCAAACTTAATACATGAAGATCTGCTAGATTGTAGTCCCCTGCTACAGCATAAAAAGAAATAACAAGACCTGGTTCAGTAGCAAGATCCCAAACTTGCTTAACCGAATTAATTTCACGCTCCTGAGGAGCATGGAGAACAATGGTGATGGAGCCCACAACACAAAGAACACAGCCCAAGATTCCAAAAATATGTAGCTTCTCTCGTAAGATTATATGAGCAAGTACAGCACTGCAAGTGCAACACAATTTTTTTAAATCAATACGTGACAACAATGTTAGTTCAGATGGTGCCCTAGGATAGTACCTGATGATTATGCTAAGGGCACCAAGAGGTGTCACCAAAATTGCAGGAGCAAAGGCATAAGCTGCAAAATTAGCCACTTCCCCCACAACCACTGGATTGTAGGCATAAATTAGTCAAACATACGATTCAAAATAAGATAATAGAGCCAAAAAAAATGTGCAAGTGCTTTTAACTAGTCAAAACACATAATATAGAAATAATACCAAAGAGGGAGAACACATTTTCTACCAATAGCCAACCAAACTAGAGGCAGCAAGTTCTTTTAATTGTAGGACAGTGAAGAAATAAAAAAGGACTAAATTCCAGGCTCTTTCATTTATTTTTGTCCTTCATGACCAGCATTTTTTTCTATTGCAATATTTGAGCAAATGAGCTTAATAAAGTTAGCAGATATATTTCATGTATATAACTTGTTTACCCAAGCGAACATAAAATGTGAAACTTAAATCCAAATCTTTTTTGATATGCAATCCCTAGAAATGATTCCATCAGGTTAAAGTTAATTGATCCATAAATAGGATTCACAATAAACAACCTAAAACTGGAGGATGTGAATAGAGAAACCATTAGGTTCCCCTATTGTGATTTGGAAGTTCACAGTTCAACTCCAAAAACAGAATCATCGTAATGTTTGAATTGAGGCTGCCTGCATCAACACAGCCACAGCCCATTTTGAGTAAGGACCCTAAAATCTAAGCATTGATAAACATTCTACCTTTCTAAAGACTTTACGGTCCAATTTATGTTCATAAATCAAGCACATTATAAGGAAAAAATATATTTTTGTCATCAAAAAGTACAAATTCTTTTTTCAACAACCAAATAATTAACTATGTCTCAGAACTTGAAAACATTAAGCAGAAAACAGGGGAACAAAAGTTTTTTTTTTTTTTTTTATTTGCTGGTCCTAATGCTCCTAATATGCAAAGTAAACTCAAAATTAGAGCAAACCCAATAAAACAAATAGCAAGGAAATTCAATATATGAATTTAATTCAACCAAGCAAGGTTTTCATTACAAATGCATCCATCAACTGAACAACACAGAAAATCAAAAAGTATTACCCATGACAAAGTTTGCAAATTGCTAAACTAAGTTCACCGATCATGTATAAATGCATAAGAAGTCTCACTTGCTATCATGCCTGCCCACCACAGTGGCTCATACAAGTAAGAATAGCCACCAGCTCCTGCATTGAATTTAGAAATAGTTATCTTTCAGTAACAAAGGAATAAATGAGAGAGATTTGGCAATTATATAAGATGCAGAACTCCATGTTGCAGAAAGAACTCCAACTCATAAAACAACTTTTACAAGCAAATAAATAGAATTTCCCAACTCACATAAATTCATTTGTAATTTTATCATTGAGTACAAGTATATAAATTATGAAACTAAAAAAAAAGGCATTTCAATTTCTTTTTATGCACATGAAAAAAAAAAATTAATACAAATCTAAACATGCAAAAGCCACATATATGCACCTCCCAAAATGGTAAAATTTTAATTTGATAGAGAAGAATTCTAGTATCAAAAAGTACATGAAAACATATAAGTACTCATAAATTTAAATTAAACTTATGTTCGTAAATTAGGTACATAAGCATATCAAAGAATCAGTTGGTTAAAAGAAGAATAATTTATTGCTCCTGTAGGTTTTTAATATCCTTCACTTTTTCCTTTAATTTGCAAATTAATAAGCATTCAAATCTTAGAAAATCAGCTAGCGGCATGCCCACTAGGAGAATATGATATAAGATCTCAAAAACTATGTCAAACAAATCCAATCGAGAATGTATTTCATTAATAATGAGCATTTCCAAGGACCAACTTCATTAACCATATTTGATGCATGGTTTGATAAAGCTTTTGAACTTCAAAGTTAGTATTCCTATGTCTAGTCCCATACTTCATCATTTCTCTATACTGACAATAAATAAAAAAGATTGTGGTGCAAAATGCAAGATGAAATAGAAAAAACCAAAAGATGCAAGAAACATCAAATACAAATTGCAGGAGTTATTTGACAGTACCATGTCAGAACTATTTGTTCATAAAGTAATAACTGGTTCCAAACAATTAATATAAAGTGTTTTCCTGGAATTTAAGTATACAGAATTTTTTGTGTCATCTTCCTATGAAGAATGCTTGGCCAAATTCATTATGCCTCCAATACTTGCAGAATATTTAATCTTCTATGTGACATTCAACTAGCACAGCTTAAAAACACCAGCACAGTTTAATTCCTAGCATAATTGTAGTCAAACAATTTTCAGGAATAATTCCCTACATTAACATTACTCTGCCATCAAATAAGACTTATCTTCCTTAATTTCAAAACTTTTGGTCAGATGAGATCAATTCTTTCCAAATTAATGTCTCAAAAGTACTACAAACAGATTCATCATTTTCCCATACAACATGAGATCTCTAATAAATGAATGGCAGACAACAAATAACCTTAATACGAAGCTCCATCCAACCCAGAAGCAGTTAAATTCACTGTCACAATTCCGACACCAAAAGAACCTAAATGAATTAGTACCTGCCCTAACACCGGTCGCACTGGCCTTCTTCAATCCCTTTTTCTTAACGATGAAGCTTGCCCCGATGAAAAAACTGGAAGACAGCGCGAGAATCAAACCCTTGATGTTGTCAGAGGACATGCCCCTGTAGGAGTCTCGCCAACTACCACCCGACGCCATTGCCAGTGCAGTGCGTAAAACCCTAGCGATGATCCGGAAACCGCTACCGCGCGATCCCCGCAGCCCACTCCAAAGCTATAGCCATGGAAGAGATTAAAAGACAAGAAGAAGCTTAGCCGCTAGATTGCAGACTCGGTCAGACGAAGGGCTAGCAGCAGGGATCGACGAGGCGGAGACCGGTGGCCGCCACTTATCCTTATCCACAATCTGTTATTTCAAATGTTCTCAGGAGATCTGAGAGTTGTAAGAGAGACTGGAAAAAAATGGTGGCCTAAATGATCTGGAAACAAGAAGCGGATGTGAAGATCGTTCTGTTGAACTGTATCAAAGGCACCTCGCTGCGTTGTCATACTCCAACATTCCATCAATTATTTTGTCATAATTCGAAACCCAAAGTTTTTTCTCTTTCAAAAATGGTGAATAAAAAGGATTCTTTTCAATAATAAGTTTTGAAAATTAATAAATAAGAAAATCCTTAATTTTAGTTTTTAAAATTTAATATATAACCCTCAACTGCTATTTAAATAAATAATGCAAATTTATTATTTTTCTAGTTTTGTAATTTACTAGTTTCTCAATAATTTACTTGATCTCCTTCTATGTCTTCCTTTTATTTTCATCCACACTCCAAACTTTTGTAATTCATATGAGCATGTCGAATTGTTTCACTAGCTTATGATAATTTTAAAATGAGTGATTTCAAAACATAAATTTTATTTGATACTACTATAACTTATTACAAACTTAATTAAAATTTTAGACAATTATTTTCTTTTGGACATTGCAATCTAGCAGATTCAATAGTAAAGCGTTTGCTCATGAATAAATCTCTACAAAGCAACATAAAAATTAAAATTAAAGAGAAAAATGACAGTGTCTATAAAATACAAATGTGAAAAAGTTATCTCAAATGCACCCATAATCATATTTCTTCGAACTGTTTGTGGGGAAAATGGTGGGAGATTAGTATGGTTGTATTGAGGATGGTTAGTAGAAGAGTTATATAACAAAAGCAAGAGGCATTGAGAGGATAAATTATATGGTAGGATGCAAAGAGGTTGAACTCTATGGTGGGGCATCGAGAGGAAATCACCAATAGTTCCCCAAGAGGCTGAAGTTAGGAAATACTAAATGGTAGTCATTAATAGAGTGTTGAGAGGACAAAGTTAACATCAAGATGTTAAGATGATATTATTCACACTATGCTAAGGTGATCAAGGGGAAATAATCAATAGTGCAACAATAAGAAGCCCATGGCACTGTGCCAAGAGGAAGTTTCTAGTAGTATAATGAGAGTACTAAGTGCTAGAATATTAAATTTGGTGAGAAAGAGAAGTTGTGAGCTCACAGGAGGATATGATGATGACTCAATGATGCCATGTCATGAACTAAAGCTAAATGATTTGAATTAATTTGATTAGGCTCTAATTAAACTAGTTCAAAAGGGAAACATTCTACGTCAAAATGAACTTGACTTTGGATGGGCATAGTATTAAACCATGACTAAGAAATCTATTTGAAGATTCTAGGAACTACGTACATAAAAGATAGGCCTATGATCTTGAACATTTGGGATAAGTTTAAGGGGAGTATTGCATATGTTGGAACCCTCAATAGGTGTAATGTGTACTTAGAGAAATATTATATATGTTAAGGATGACATTTTAGAAAGGATCAATCCAGAAAGTCCTTAAAACCTTTAATAAGTGTAGTGTTCTCATGGAGGGGGACGGGGCGCATGTTGGGGTCAACATAGACGTGCTTATCATGATGACTATAGTATTAGTTCACTTGTCAAAGGGAAAAAGGGGGGAAAAGGCCATGTGTAATATATACAAAAATCTTAATAGTGATAAGTGACCAAGTCTAAGACTCTAGTAATCAAGTCTAAGGTGGGTAGATTTTAGATCCTCAACATGTGGTGTATTCAAGAGGAACAATAAATGTGCAATAGTATTCCTAATTAGTATAGTGTGTTTAGGGGGAATATCTCACATATTGAGTATAATCCTTTAAGGAGGGATCAATCTGTATACTAACATCTCTATTATTATAAATGTGTTCACTAGTGCTATAGTGCTCCCAAAGGAGTTTTCCTACACTTTAAGTTTTCTTTGCACTCCATTTTCAAACTCAACTTGACTCACTTAACATAAAATACACATAGATTTTACTTATATATAAAAACTCATTTTAGTGTCAGAAATGTAATGCTCCAACATATAATACTGATGAACTTGACTAGAATATTATAGACACCCAACAAAGACAACAATGTCACAACACTCCCTTATAGTGCCACTGCTCTCTCCATGCCTTCTAAATTTCATCCTCCAAACATAAAGGATAACGTCACAGAGCCATCTCCGCTAGCGTTATAGCATTCCCAGAGGGGCTTTCCTGCACTTGACATTATCCTTCCACTCCATTTCTAAACTAAACTTGAGTCACTTAACATAACATAAATTAAACCTAACACATAATAAATAATTAATGATCGACTTAGTAAAAATTTTATTTGGTATGACTCGTTCTATAGTAGAAGGTATTATATTCTTCTCTACTTAGAAAAATATCATCCTCAACATTTCTATGAGCATGTACTCAGAATAGAACAGGATATAGTTACCTCATTTTGGCCTTCATTTCACAAGTAACTTTTTTATTACACAGATGTCTCAACTGAATCCTAACCATATGAATTTGCATGTTTGTTAATTGTTTCACATCATAAACAAGAATACATTCTAATTTTTCTTTATATGTCATGTTAAATTGGATTTCAAATTCTTCACTTTATTCCAAATCAGAAGCCTAGTTCCTTAGTACTCACACTTGAAATACATTATGGATTTTTGATATATATGATCTGGTTGCAATAATTGACAAGCAGACTTTCTAATTTGTTCAATCACTTCTAAAGGATCAATATACCTTGGACTTAACTTGTCATCCTTTCCAATATACTTACTCCCTTTATTTGATTGACTTTTAGAAAAATAAAATCACCAATTTAAAAATTAACATTTCTATGCCTCTTGCCATGATACTTCTTCTACCTATCCAAGGCTTGTTCTAGTTCCTTTATGATCAATCTATTTTTTTTTTAGCTTCATGAACCAATTCAAGACCCATCATTTGTCACAACTTAACTTGATAAGACCCACATATGAAATAGGTTATATTAAGTTGACTTGTGACAGGCCAAACCTAAGTTTAGAGTTTTTGAAAACTTTTCATATTTTATTCTTTTAATTGACTTTAGGAAACAAACAACAAACCATAGAGCTGCTAATAATATCCAATATACAGAAAATAACTCAATAAAAAATTTATTTTTTATTTCTCACCAAAATGTACATATAATAATTATATTATTATGCATGGCTACAGTTGAACTATAGAATTAAGAAATTTAAATAACTAATAATGACTATAAAAAAAAGAAAAAATACCTATATAGACTTAGACAAATCAGATCCTAAGTCAGCTACTCAATGATTGTTTCCCTTTCCTAGACCTTTAAAAAGAATGTAGATAAATTGTGAGTTAACATAGCTCAGCAGATCATACTCATTTATTTATATTTATAAATAAATCATTTATTCAGCATTCAAATGAGTTTTTAAAAAGTTCAATAATCACTCTATGGAACAGAGTTGTGCTTTAAGTTATTAGAAACTTACATAATAATGCAAGAAAGTAAGTAAATAAGTAATTCATATATTATAACAAAAATAATAGATTTCCAATAGGCCCTTATACCACCAATCAGAACAGAATTCAAAATTCAGGCACTTATAACTCCCTTGCTGGCATATCAAAAAATAAACTCTTATGACACTCAATGCACATCACCAAACTAAAATGTGCATATAGCACCAGAACAAAATATGCATATAACACTAGAAAAGAACTTTTGTGCCTTTAGCACTAGAACAGAACTTCCCCAATACACACCATATATCCTCAAAATCACACATTTCAATTAGACAAATATTTAATTCATTGCATTATAGTATAAGAAATATAAATAAACTTATTTTATAATTTAACAGAATGCTTTAATGGTAGGCAATAGAATATACTATTGAGCATAAATTCACTATTTTAAAATATAACAAAATTATTAGAGACTATTCAGAGCATTGTTTGAAGCTTTAATTGTACTACAATATTATTTGTTGGGGTCAGAGCTATTTTAGGGTTATTAAAATATCACATTTTTGAAAACCCTCAGTGTAAAATTTTGAAAAAAAAAATCTAAATGTCCAGAGTTATTGTCTCTAATGTACAAAAAATTAGGTAGTGCAAGCTTAGTGGTTATAGAATTATCCTCATTTTTGCAACACAAAACTATAATATTTTTTAAAATTTCTATATTTTTAAAAATTAAGATACGCAAAATGTAGCCTACCTTGAAATGAATAACTTTTTAAACTGTGTCGAGATCTAAAATTTGACTGAAGTTGCCCAAAATTGGCTTTCCCTCTCAAGGATTTTTCCTTTATATCTCTCTTCCTCTAATTCTCTCTCTCTCTAGCCATCTATCTCTAAGTAAAACTATTGCCCTTTACATTTTAGAATTCAGATCAATAGAACAACTCAAGATATAACTTTCTCATCTCAGATTCCTTCACCCAAGTAGCTTCTCTTTCAGACATGTGATTCTACTACATCTTGCCTATTAGAATATACTTATTCTTCAATTTTCTTGCATCATATATCATAATCCTTTTTGGTTCTTTCTTGTAACACAATTTGGATGTACCTCAATATCTTCTATAAATATCTACTCCAAGAATAAGATACCTACTTTCTTAGAAGTGACATGTAAAATACACTGTGAATCTAATACATATGAGCTGATAACTACAACTTATAGGAAAAAATTTCAAACCTTTTAGTTATTTCAAATGTTCCAATGAACCATGAACTCAACTTTCCTTCTTTGATCAGCTTGATTTTCACGTATATAAAATCTCTAACTCAGAATTCTATAGCCAGGTGCTCAACATCATAATATTATTTATATCTGTCTCATATAGCTTTTAATATGTTTCTGACCATATGGATCTTTTTAGTTGCTTCATCAATTAAAGCTGGCCCAATCATATTCCTTTCACTTACCTTTGTCTAAGATAGTGGAGTTTTGAATTTTATGTTATGTAAAGCTTCATAATAGGATATACCTATGCTTGATTGAAAGATGTTATTGTAGAAAAATTTGATAGGAGAAATATAATCTTCCTAGCTTCACCTAAAATTCAATACACACAATCTTAAAAGATCCTCCAATATCTAAATAGTCCTCTCAGACTGCCCATAAGTCTATAGATGAAAAATTATACTGAAATGTAATTTAATGACCTAAACTTGCTA